CTGCAGCTCTGATAGTGCCCAGCATCAGCGCTGACATGGCAACTCAACTGCAGCTCTGATAGTGCCCAGCATCACCTATGACATGGCAACCCAACTGCAGCTCTGATAGTGCCCAGCATCAGCAATGACATGGCAACCCAACTGCCGCTCTGATAGTGCCCAGCATCAGCGCTGACATGGCAACCCAACTGCAGCTTTGATAGTGCCCAGCATCAGCGCTGACATGGCAACCCAGCTGCATTTGCATTCCAACCTATTTTCTCTACTGTACAGCATAGATACTGTACAGCTTATGCCCCCATGTGAGACGAGAACAGAGCTTTTGTGTAAATCCTTCCGAAGTGTAATCACGCCGGACTGCAGACGCGGAGCAGTAAAACAATGAGCAGGCAGGCCGAGCAGTTTTCGGCGGCAGTGAATCAGCGGCCTCCTATTTCCGTCCAGTTGGCGCTCATTCTGTCTCCAGGTTCGGCCTTAATAATGTGTCACATGCTCGAGCAGAAAGGCAACAAGGAGACCGGGGACATTTGGACTGCGCTTTGGCTGGCCGACGTCCACGCCAGAAATCTGCAGCACATGAGCAAAGCATAATGTGAGGGCAGAATCTTATCGCAGAAACGCACCTTTCAGGCACATCTTTGGGTCCCTGTAATGTCTGGCTCGCTCACAGGTACTAGGGTGACACTATGTGATGCTCTCTAAATGCGTTTCTGCTTTTCATGTTTGCCTTTCTTTCCCCAGATGGGACGCCGTACACGTGGTGGGTGGGGAGGGGTAACGAGAAGCACTACTATTGGGGGGGCTCCGGACCTGGCATCCAGAAGTGCGCTTGCGGGATCGAGAGGAACTGCACCGACCCCAAGTACTACTGCAACTGCGATGCTGACCACCGGCAGTGGTGAGGAACCCTCGCCTCTGGGGATCTGCGGGTTATAGCCCTCTGTGAGTTAGCCCTTTACGAGTTACCCCTCTGTCAGTTAGCCCACTATGAGTTAGCCCTCTGTCAGTTAGCCCACTGTAGTTTAGCCCTATGTGAGTTAGCCCTCTACGAGTTACCCCTCTGTCAGTTAGCCCACTATGAGTTAGCCCTCTGTCAGTTAGCCCACTGTAGTTTAGCCCTCTGTCAGTTAGCCCACTGTAGGTTAGCCCTCGGTGCGTTTGCTCTCTGTGAGTTAGCCCTCTGTGAGTTAGCCCACTGTAGGTTAGCCCTCTGCAGGTTAGCCCTCTGCGAGTTAGCCCTCTGTGAGTTAGCCCTCTGTGAGTTAGCCCACTGTGAGTTAGCCCTCTGTGAGTTAGCCCTCCATGCTCATTATTGGAAGATTCCAGGGTCGGCAGAGTAATTTCAAGGGCCTAGTGTGGGACCCTTGAGCAAGGCTTAACCTTGCTGTTGCAAACATTTGTTATTTTGCATAAAAGCATCAGCTAAATAGATGAATACAAATGCTAGTTGGACGTGCTTTTCCTCGCTCTTATGTGGGGGGGGGGCAGCGGGAGTCCAGGACCGGCCCTCATTGAGCAGTTGTGTACATCCTCCCAGTCCCACGGCTCACTTGAGAAACAATTAAATGCTAAATCAACGCACTAACAGCGAGGCTCCTGAAGCTTCCCAACCCGGAGCCATTTATCCCTGACCTTTCACCTTGTATGATGCTTTAAATCAGCTTTTCACTTTCACTTACTGCAGCAACTTGCTATCACATTTTATCATGTTATTTTTTCCACTATCTGGCGGCCATCTTTGGGCAGGTCATCGCAGAGCAGCTGAAGAATATTTGGAAGCGGTGGCTTTTAATAAAGTACAAAGTAAACGCCGCATTACAGAGAGCCAGTCTACAGGCTCGGCGGCATTTCCCCTTGTCTCTTTGCGTTACAGCTGCAGCAAAACATCTCTATAACGAGAAAACTCGCTCGTCTGGAGAATAATTTCCCACGCCCTCAAATGAGAGCATTTATTACCAGCTAAGACAATGTAAATGTCACCTAGTCTTTAGGGAGATTGCTGCGCGGGGAAAGGCTTCCGTTCAGTCACTCTCCAGTTTCCCTGTCAGGCCTTGATTTTCAGCTGAGACCGGAGTGCTGTGTAATTTAAAGAGAGCGACACGAGAGCCCAGACTCGTCCTGCTCGCTGTCGAAATCCGCCCTTCACATATTTACGGCCAGAGCAGCAGAGCGGTGCGGCAGAACGATTCCGGCACAGGCGGGGTGCCTGTTAAGTCCCCCCATGCTGCACGGTACGACGCCCTTCTATGTCTGCCGAGCAGCTTGGCCAATGGGACGGGAGCACCTGTGGCTCACCGCCACTGTCATTTCCGTCATTTTCTCTCCTAAAGGTGTAATAACAATAACTTTGCTTTATATGCTGCTTTTCTCACACTCAAGGACACTTTACAATACATACAATTCAGCACAAACACAATAACGCCACAGAAAAACAACAGCAGAAACTGCAACCTTACACACTGGATGATGCAGAGTGTAACTGCAGTGTACAAAAGGATGGGAAGTGGGACACCAGCCAATTACATTTATTTAACAGGTGCTATTTTCAAACTGGCACACACTGGAAATCAGCCAGTTCTTGCTGCAGCTGGGAATAAGGGCCTGGGTCAAAGGCCCGACAGTAACATCACTCTGTCGGCCACAGGATTTGAACCAACAACCTTGAGTTGTTGAGTCCTACACACCACCCCACAAAGTCACAGTACAGTGTTTGGCTTGTTGCAGAAATTTCATTTATATTATCTCTGTTAATTGTAGTGTTTCTGTGATGTCAGGTTAAGCCTAGGCAAACATTTAAAACGTGAAACCTGCCTCTAGGCCATAATTTCACAGTTTTAAACATAATTACACCTTTATTACCTAAATGGGACTATATGTGAAAATGTGTAAGGAGATCAGTTGTTTGTGATTTCACATTAACAGGACGTGTAAGGAGATCAGCTGCTTGTGATTTCACATTAACAGGATGTGAAAGGAGATCAACTGCTTGTGATTTCACATTAAAAGGATATGTAAGATCAGCTGCTTGTGATTTCACTTTAAAAGGATATGTAAGATCAGCTGCTTGTGATTTCACATTAACAGGATGTGTAAGATCAACTGCTTGTGATTTCACATTAACACATCTGCTCCTTTGCACTTAGAGGAAGGCAGCACCTAAATAATCGTGATGTTTTATGTCGCATGTGTAGTCCTTCCTGTGAGCCACGGTGGGGCAGTCGGCCAGATCTTAGAAGTTAATTGAAGATCTGTGAGGAAGACGTGCCTCTCTAATTGAATGTATATTTTCTGGTACATGTATATTCTTCCCTTCATCAAGGAGAGAAGATTCTGGAGCCCTCAAGTACAAAGACCATTTGCCCGTAATCCAGGTGGCTGTTGGAGATACCAGCCGAGCCAGCTCAGAGGCCAAGCTGACTGTTGGTCCTCTACGTTGTCAAGGAGACCGTAAGTTGGAGAATTTTCTTCCAGCGACATTGATCAGTAGGCAGCGATAACCTTGCCTGTATTCTGCACTTGCTGATCAACATAATAATGACTCATGATAAAAAAAATCTGAATATTGACCTTGTCTGGCCTTTTGGAGCTGGGCCATTTATTTTAAGAATGTTAAATGCATTCAACACCAATACTGCTGTAGGTTTCAGTACTTTCCAAGGCAGCAGTGTGCTAATTACCTGATATGTGTTTTTAAAAAAAGAAGGTTAGCCAGGTTATCGGATTATAAGATGGAACTCATCAAAACAACATCTCTACCCAATTGGCATCTTCTAAATGTCTTCCATTTTCCCTGCTCCAGCCAATCAGCATCGACCAAACATCTCCCACGTTCCCTACTCCAGCCAATCAGTATATACGAAATATCTCCCATTTTCCCTGCTCCAGCCAATGAGCACAGTTGATGTTGGAACTCACAATACCATACTAAACTGTTTATAGGTACAACCCCATTTCCAAAAAAGTTGGGACAGGAGCATGTGTTGCATCGCCTCTTCTTTTAACAACACACTGTAAATGTTTGGAACTAAGCTGGAGTTTTGAAAGTGAAACATTGTCCCAATCTTTCCTGGTATAAGATTTCAACCATTCAACAATTCGGGGTCTCGATCCTTTGCCGTATGTTTCATTTCACGACGTGCCGAATGTTTTCAATGGGTGACAGGTCTGGACTGCAGGCAGGCCAGTCTAGCACCAGGAATCTTCTGCTACTGTTGTAACACGCGCAGAATGCGGTTTGGCATTTTCTTGCTGAAATATGCAAGGCCTTCTCTGAAAAAGACGTCATCTGGATGGCAGCATATGTTGCTCCAAAACCTGTATGTGTCAATCAGCATTAATGGTTCCTTCCCAGATGTATGGGCTACCCAAGCCATGGGCACTAATGCAGCCCCATACCATCACACATGCTGGGTTTTGGCTTAAACAGCACAGTTTTCCGTTTTGCCTCAGTCCATCTCAAATGAGCTCAGGCCCAGAGAAGTTGGAGAAGTTTCTGGATGATGTTTAGATATGGTTTCTTCTTTGCCTAGTAGAATGCAGTGGATGCTATGACAAACTGTGTTCCCAGGTTTTCTGAAGTCTTCCTGGGCCCATGCAGTGATTTCCACTGTAGAATTGTGTCTGTATTTAACGCAGTGCCGCCAGAGGACCCAAAGATCATGGCTATCCAGTGCTGGTTTTCTGCCTTGTCCCTTGCGTACAAAGATTTCTCTGGATTCTCTGAATCTTTTAATGATATTACGTACTGTAGATGATGAAGTTCCCAAATTCTTTGCAATATCACTTTGACAAACATTATTCTTAAGTTGCTGTATCATTTACCCACGCAGTCTTTCACAGAGTGCTGAACCTCTCCCCATCGTCACTGCACAGAGTGCTGAACCTCTCCCCATCGTCACTGCACAGAGTGCTGAACCTCTCCCCATCGTCACTGCGGAGAAGCTCCCTCTCTTGGAGGCTTTTTTATACCCAATCATCTTACTGACCCATTGTCAATTAACCTAGTTAGTTGTGAGATATTCTATCAGGTGTTTTGTTTTAGCATCGCATAGCTTTCTGTTTTCTTTTGTTGTCCCTGTCCCAATTTTTTTTAAACATTTTGCTGGCATCAAATAGGCCTGAGTGCCTGTCGCCAGAAGGTCATCGGCTCAAATCTCACCTGCGTGTGTGTGTGTGTATGTGTCTGTGATGCAGAGAAATATGTAATGCCATGGGAATCAATAAAGTATCACTATTCCATTCAGGGGGGGTAGAGTCAAGCGGGGCCTGGGTGGGGTAACAGGCTGTTTTATATCATTGTGAGTAAAGGCGCCTGTCTCCTGATTTCATCTTGCTCTTATATTCTTGTATTTTCTTGGCACCTCTGCACTGCACAGAAGCTCTGCCATGATGCTAGAAATTAAATCGCTTTGTCTTTACGGTCAGCTTTGGCCAAAGATGGAACATCCTCAGACGCAGACCTGCAGTCAGCATGTGCGGAGCAGTCAAATATTCTGTCACGTGTTGGTTAAGCAGGGTTTTTTTTCATGCGGTGAAGAATTTTTTTGTTGGGATTTTCTTTTAGTGGAAGAGATTTGGGAAACTCAGGTTAGCATGGTGAGTCAGCAAGTCCGGCACCGCACAGAAGGAGGGTTAGAGATACGGATCTGGGCTCATCTCTGCCTGAACAAAGTTTGCTTGTTATCTCAGTGTTTGGGTGGGTGTCCTCCGGCGGGGGGGGGGGGGTGAATCGCAAACTCGCAATTGGTGCCATGGCCTGAATTTATGTCTGTAATTTGGTGTCCAGTGATGGGTGGGCCTTCAGTCTGGGTGATCATAGATATTTAACGTGCAGAATGTTTTCTGCTTTGGCTCTGATGCACTCAGCAGCCCAGTAACTCTTCTTGTTTATGCACCTTGTGTCTTTTATATCGGGTGCTACCTGCATTTCAGTGTAACAGATCTACTACAGAGTGAACAGTCCGAGTCAGGTAACTTTGTAGGGGAACTAGCACTATGTATGGTAAATGTTTACTCTTTTTATTCAAGCTTAAAAGAACATTCTCACTTCTAAATGAACAAGAAAAAATCTATTTCAAAAATCATTGTCTAGCTTAATAACCTTCCTGATCAATCTGCTGAATTAATATTAATTCGTAGATTAATATTTTGAAGCACATCTAAGCTGCTGCAGCTGCAGTATTGAATATCTTTGTTTTGCGTGCAAGCATGGAAGCATTTGGGGGAAAATACTTTTGTTTCAGGAGTAAAAAACAAAAACAAACTTACCTGCTATGACAGCCCATTAATTCCGCTTAATTACAATCATTTGGCTTATGTAACAATTGCACTGCTAAAGTAAAGGGGGATATTTTAAAGAATCATAATTAATTGCACAGTTGTAATGTGTTTCTCAAGGCGTAAAACTATTTACAAGAGGCACTGACTAATGACAGTTAAGGATGAGGAACCGAGAATTTTTCAATCATTTGTGGTGATTCTGTTTTTGTTGAGGTCGCTTTAATGGGTGAAAGGATGCAGACCTAAAACGTAGCGCAGGTCACAGGGACGCCGTTCACAGACTGCGGGGGAACAGTGGTTTCTTTAGTGGTTTCTCAGAAGTCTGGATGATCCTCACACTTTTAGGTGATGGTCCACCTAGACTTCTAGATTTCATTATCCAGTGGGGGAATGTGTCTCACCATCATTTACGGACTTTGAATGATGTCTATTTTCCACTTTTATGAAACATCAATACAAGCTGTTGCTGGCTTCTATCCATTAGTGAGTCATGCATTTTTTTATCTAGTCAACATTATGTAGAGAGCACTCTAGAAAAAAGATAGAAAAAGCATTAGCACGATTTATAATGCATTTTTTTTGTGTAATTGCAAGAATGTCATGAAAGGATTATTGTTTCTAAAAACAACTTTTGCCATTTGTATCATTTAGCAGCCCTGTGAGCACTTAGAGAGGAGTTTGTTACGGATATACAGTAAGGAGGGCAGTGGTATAGACAGGCAGGAAACTTAGGACGAGCCGTACATGCATGTAAATGTCACAGCCTCAAACAGTAGCCAATATTCCTTCTGATTCTCTACCTCCATCCCTACAATTAAAAATCTAGGTCTTGTACAGCTGTTCACACACAACTTAAGATACATGTAAAACATGATTATTCAGCTGTATAACCGACATTGATTGATCTCTGGTATATTTCATACTGTTCTGAGGTCATTTGCATTCGTTATTATATGTGACAGGGCCGGTAATAAGCCCTGCGTGCGTCAGCCGACTTCGTAAAGGTAACCTATCCCTGTTCTCTGCTTGTATATAATGGCTTTGCACTTTTAACAGCCCCAGCAGACAATAAACTGAACTGAAAGAGGTTTGATTTTATGACTTGATCCTTTGTACTCTCAGCGAAGACTACCTTGTGGTCTTCAGGAGCTTGGAATACGCTCTCAGCACTGAAATGTTTTGCCCGCTCTGACCTTGTGTTCTGCGTGCCTGATGTGTTGTGCCGCACATCATTCAGCAGATGGAGCTCAGTGTTTGTCACGGAGAGAGAGGCCTCTCTGCCAGGCCGTCTCTGCTAAATCCCCCTCCCCTGTGTTCCAGCATGGAGAAGATCCTCCACCTTATTTATTCTGTATCTCCTGGAAGGAGCTCTTGGAAGCTCCCGGTTGCGACGCTGAGGTTCTCCTTTCTCCTGGAGAACAGTAGCTGGACAGCAGGTTTTCTCTGCGCATTTGAGCTGATACAGCTGGGGAATCGCCTGTGTGATTTAGGTGGACTGCTGGCCGTACGCAATGTGTCGCAGACTTTCTGCTCTAAGTCAAGTCGTAGATTGTGCTCCTTAATCGCCGCCTATAGCAGGTGACTTCTTGGATAAAAGCTGTTGCTGAGATGGAGGGGGAAGATGAGATTCTTCACAGCACTCTGATAGGATGACATCGTTCATCTGCCCTGCTCTCCTCGCGCTCGCTATCAGCTCCTTGAACCATCTGAAGGAGGAACTAACTGGCAGCCATTGTGTCCTACTGATCGTTGTCATAAGAAAGAGCGCATCAATAAAACCTGAAATTGATTCTTTCTTGTCAATGCGACAGACTTTTACATCTATTACAGTCCTTGAATGCGGATTTATTTATTTTTGTTCCTTTGCTGCTGATTATTTGCTTTTTTTTGACACTGTGGTTGTATAAACAGCCACAGCATTTCTGTTAGCTGCACAATAGACCCGTTCGTTTTCATCACAGCCGCACGCTTCATTCCCTGAATGTTCTTTAGACAGTTTTGTTCTCATGAATAGATGTTTAGAAAAGTGTCCCTCTTCAAAACAGGACACCTGTGAGGTGACCCATTACAACAGAGCTGAAGAAACAGTAATGTAAGTACACGCGGTGTTTCTGAAGGTTAGCTCTCGTCAGCAGCAATGCCGCCTGGTCAAGGTGCTCCTTACTTCT